ACTTTATTTTTAACAACCAGTATATTAATATATCCCAAAATGAGTGTAAAATTTTCAAATAAGTAGAGTCTGGAAGGAAGATGGGGCAATCTACTTCCGTAGTGATACTGCCTCGGAAACCCAAGGAGGGGTCGCTATGAGGCGGGTCCGACTCGACGGCACGTAACAACAACAGAGTGGCAATACTGATCTCACTGTGGCAGAGAGGTACTACCTATTTTGTCATTCTAACATCTATCTCCACATGACTTATAATTAAAATAGAGTGGTAGATTTAACAGCTGGAGATTTACCTTCATGGTCACCGTGTTCCTTCTTTATCGGGATTCTGTATCCCAACGAGAACTTCAATTGATATGAGAATGTATCAGTAAACATGACTTTTACCATTTCCTGGGGATACATTGCTGATAATTCTTCAATACTTTTATTACCTGGCAGTTCCATGATTGTTCTACCTGCCATTACAAGAAGGCCACATTATTATCAGTGCATTACTAAAAGGCACAAACTCAGGGTGTCATTTTCAATTGTTTTTGTAGAATTCTTTATGGAAATAAAATGAAGTATTGGCGGCCTTAAGTAAATCAGACAGACTAAGAGTTTGGCAAAAGGCATTTCTGAAGTTCAGCGTAGATATAATGAGAAGAAATAATGATTGGAATTGGCTCAGTAATCACACATATGAAGATGACATTATTTTATCTTCATATGTGTGATTACTGAGCCAATTTCAATCATAGAAAATATCCTATGAATGAGATTATTTATGGAAGAATTAGCAGTATAATACATCTAAAATGGTGGTAAAACAATGAATGTGTTTATAACATAAACACATTCATGAATGTGTTTATAACACATGTGGATAAACACATATAGGATAAACACATTCTATTGCCTAAAGTAACTATACATGTTTATTTTTCTTTAACAACCTTGATAATGTGGTTAATGTGCTCCCCCCTCAAAAAAAAAAAACCTCAACATTTTAAAATGTGCAGGGGATAATACTGACATCACTACATCTTTATTTTTTGAAGTTCTTTTGGTTATCTCCATATAGAGTATTATTAAGACTGAAAGACTTAATAATAAGTCCCTGGGTGGAACAAACCGTTAAGCACAAGACTATGAGTCTAAAGGTTGATGGTTCACACCCAACTAGAGTCACCTTGGAAACAAGCCTAGCAATCTTCTTCTAAAAGGTCACACATTGCCTTGAAAATCTTATGGAGCAGTTCTCTGGACACATGGGGTCACCATGACACGACGTCTTCAATGTCATTCATTTAGTCAACAGATCAAAAGAAAAAAAATACTGAAGAAATGAGAAGGAATACCAGAAAAATTCTGGAATGGGGTGGGAGTGTTCAAGATAAAAGAGGCGAGAGCAGGCAGCATGTATTTTGATAGAACTGAATATTTGTAAAATTAATTTAGTAATACCTATTACTATAGATTATTAATGTAGAATACAACAGCATAATATAATGTAGGGTATTACTATTATAAAATTATATCTATCACTGCTAACCAGAAGGCTGGCAGTTCAAACCCACCAGCCACTTCTCAGAAGGAAGGCTGGGCAACCTACTTCTGTAGTGATATGGCCTTGGAAACCCAAGGAGGGATCGCTATGAGTCAGATCTGACTGGATGGTGCAAATGGTTAATGTGCTTAACTGCTAACTGAAAAGTTAAAGGTTCAAGTCCATCCAGAGGCACTTTGGAAGAAAAACCAGGTTATCAAGTTCTGAAAGATCAGCCACTGGAAATCCTATGGGGGATTTTCTGTTCTCATATACATGGGTCATCATGAGTCAGCATCAACCCACTGACAATTTTTTTTTTTTTTTTTTTCAACAGAATAAAGTCTCTGGCACACAGTAGCATTTAATAAAAATCTGGCACACAGCAGCATTTAATAAAAACATGTTAACTGTATGTGGCTTTGAATGAGGGTACTGAGAGACACAACTATGTGATGTTGGAATCTTCAGGAGAACACCTGTGAAGGGGAGGGTGAGAGCAAATATGTCTTAGGATAGGTTGGGAAGCTGGATCTTTGGTGAAGAGTTCAGGGCAGATATGACCTTGAATCAGAAGTGGCCTTAGTGTTTGTAGGTAAGATGAACCATGTAGACACTCAGATTCAGGCAAGCAAGCTTGGGATGGTTTATATCCACCTGGTCCATCAATGGACAATGAAACTAACATAAGAAAGGAAAGTCCAATATAGTCAAGGAACTGTGACCTCAAGTACCTAAACACAGATGACAGTGAGGCTGGATTTCTGGACACTGAATCCAGTTAAAAGTCAGAATCCAAGCACAAAATAAATGTTTCCCTGGGCCAGAGTGGAACTATGAACTGAGAAAGAGAAGTGAGGTTACAGAGACTGCCAGTGACTGGATAGAGCAGAATCCACAGGTCCTTCCTGCAATAATGCCCTTGGTGGGGAATTATTGTACTTAAAACTAATACCAGGTACCTTCTGAGTCTCTTTTCACATTTTTAAAATTGAGATATCACTCATATATCACAACGTTCACCTTTTTCAAGTGTACAGTTCTGTGAGTTTTATTTAGTATATTCGCAAAGTTGTATAAACTCTAAGTCACTATTAAATGATAGCCCAGTTCACTTCTGAGGTGGCTGTGTGTGGATTCAAACCTCCAACTTTTCAGTTCACAGCTGAGTCCATTAACCATTTGCACCACTTGAGGATTCCTATCTCTATTCAATCTTGCCTTAAGAATCTCCTCCTTTAAGTGAGACTAAGGGTTTCCTTTTCCCGTAAGACAGCTGGAGCTGAGATTCTCTTACTCTCAACTGAAATATTCGTCAGAAAATTAGTTAATCTTATTTTGAATATGATGATAATGACACTCAGAGAAGTCACTTGCACAAAGTACTACAGCCACAGGGTCACAGAATTGTCTTCCGTCAAATGTCTCATGGCCCTAAGTCCAGTTCTCTGGCCTCTCAATGATGCCACTACTCCTCTAGTTTTAGGGAACTTTTTTTTTTTTTTTTTTTTTTGGTGTTGAAAGGATAAAGTTTGTACAATTAAATTCAAGAAAAGACAAGAATAAATGTACTTTGTCCATAATGACCAGCAAACCCTAGAGCAATCATCTCATTCCAGTAACAATATTTACACAGCTATGTATCAGCAAACCCCTAAACATTCTATCTTTTCAATATTTTCCAATCTGTGTAGTCGATGCATCCCAAAGCTTTCCTTTAAAGCTAGCACTCCAAGTGGTTATTCAATGTTTGCCACGTGATACACACAGTTTTGATTTAGATTTTTGAAAAATGGCCTCTTACTTCCGACAAAGAGAAAGCATGTTAATTTTTCACATAATAAAGATATTTTGATAACTGACATGGTTTATCAACTGAAATGCAAATTAAACACATGCATCTGTGATCAAATGAAGCAAATCTTGAACATCAGAAATTTCTCTCAGGTTGCTAGAAAACTCACCTGTCATGAAGGGGGCTGAGGCTACTTTATTCATTATCTGTTGGGTTGTACTCGTGACAGGTGTGTATGCAATAATATAGTTAGAATCTTTAAATGAATCCACACGTCCCAGTTTCACAGCAGGCACCGAAGAGAAATCATTAACATGATGCATAGTGGGAAATAGGTACAAACAAAGTAGAAGTGCCAATGAGCTAAACCATTCCTACACAGTTCAAGAGAAAGAAGAAAGATAATTATGATTTCAAATTAATCATCACCAATCAGTTTCATCATATACATTGATTGCTTCTCTTTGTCCCCTTTTCTAATTTCAACACGTTATGGACATTTTAAAATATGTATAACACAAAAGTCAGTGGTCTCGGTAATCCCCAAGAGTTATCAGTTGGAATGCAAATTTGCTGATCCTCAGGACCAGTGCTAAAACTTCAGAAGCGACAGTGGCAAGCTGTGATCAAATCACTACCACCTGCCATTACCTTGGTGACCCACTCATGCTGTGTTTGATTCTGCCGAGGTCCATGCATGGTGAGAGACAGTTCCAAGGCATTGTTCACTTAGTAACAGTATATTAGTCACACGCCAAGAATCTGGAATTGGTAACTCAACAGAATGTGTGTGAGCTGAGAAGCACTGGCCTGGTTAACTAGTTTTCAGTCTTGGTTCCTTGCAAACTTCCAGTAACAAACCATTTAATATTTCCATAATGCATGGTCTTAGATAAAATCCACAATGGATATAGACTACCACTGCAATTTAGTGGAAAAAATGCTACCTATGTCTTTCTGATTATTAAAAGATACCAAGCTCTAACCAGGGCTTTTGTGAGATGGTGAGATTACAAGAGCTGGTGTTAATTTTCTTCTTGGTAATTAATACACTTAAAATTTTTCCACCATTCTTGCAGGATTTATGAATTATCTTTAAAAGAGAAAGAGATCCCAAAGAGAAAATGCTAGTTACCAGCTTCTTTAAACAGATGTTTTGTGGTGTTTTTGTTCATCAAATCTTCAAAATACTGGTATTTAGGTCTACTATCTATGAGTGGGAGTATTAGTAAAAAGTGCAACCTTTGGCTTTTAAAACATGTATTGAATTCTCAACTGCTGATGAATGTCAGTGATTTTAGGCTTCAATTTATGACTCTATGTCAACTTAAATGTCTTCAGACTGATTCATGGGCTAAGGAACAGCTTCTTCTATACTATAAAGGTGTTCTATTTGGAGGGAGAAATACAAAGTACACATACCAACAATGGAAATACATTTTCCTATAATAAATGTGAAGTGACATAGATAGTGAATCATACCATTATAAAGTCTCTCTTCATCCTCCATTTTTTAAGAACATTCTTGCAAAATAAGGCCCAAGTTTGCTGACACACCCTTATTTCTCTCTTACTCATTTTGCCCTGTGTAATGAGAAAGAAAGAAAAAGGATAAAATAAATGTGACGGCCTTAATAAGATATATGATGCAAACACAGAGCCATCTGATAACCCCAGTGTTCCAAAGGAGTGACGTCCCAGCCAGCCAGCCGAGAGATAGAACCCATGGTTGCCAGGACCCCTTCACAGTGACAAGGAGTGGCTGTCGTACCTGTCGAAGCCATCGTCTTATTCATGGTGCAAGATCGTGCTCAGGGAGTGATATTTTCTAGAGACAAAGCTGGGGTGTCCAGGGGCCAGTTCCCACAGGAGGCATAGAAGCCTCAGACAGCATTGCCAGAGGAAGAACCTACACATGATGTGGTGGTTATGTTTGTGTGTCAACTTGGCTGGGCCTGGGTGAGTGGCTGGGCAGCTGGTTGTGGTATTCCCCATGATGAGACTGGTCATCAACTCCATGGTGGAATCCACTGTGAGCAGCTGAGTAGCTGTCTTTGGGTATGTGGTCTGCTTCCCGTACATAAGCAGCAGCTTTGGGAATGGCCTCTAGTTTACAGCACACTTGGACCCTGCATGTAGCCATGTCTTTGTTCAGCAGCCTGCCATGCTCTACCAACCTAGGGTCTTACAATAGACTTGAATTGATGGCCTGCCGTGTGGTTTGGTAATATCGGGACTGTGCCTTTTTACTTGTCAACCTTGAGCTTGGCAGCCTCAGCAGCTAGCAGCTGTCTGAGTGAAGAAAAGCCTCTAGCTTCAGTGGGCCGGGAGCAGAAGCAGAGCTGGACCCCAAGGTTGAAGGGTTTTCACCCAGCCCCTAGAGCCTGTCGCTTTGAACTTGGATTTAAGCCTCCAAACTGTAAGAGAATAAACTGTTTGTTGAGGCCATCCCATTTGTGGTATATATTCTTGTCAGAGCGGCAGTAGGTAGCCCAGAACACATGGCTACTAAAAGAAATTACAAGCTCTCTGGAGCTCTTGAAAGAGCTAATATCATAAGACAATCATGTGGACTGAATTCCAGGTGGTGAATTCTCCCCTCAGGACAGGTGGAATCTATGAACAGATCCATGAACTCCTGTGGCAGAGTATGCATGAAGCCACAGCTACCCCAAAAGCAGCTGAAATGTTAAGAAATCTTTAAAGGCATTTAGAACAATTTTTTACAGTTCCTGAAAGCCCCAAACCTAAGAGACATCCGTGCTCATTCATTCACTTTTTCCCACAGTCCCACTGGGTACCGCTAACAAAGATCAGAACAAACCAAGGGGCAGAGACACCCTCCAGACATTCACAGGCCACAGAACCCACCCATTTCTCCGAACATTTTTCTCCTACGAGCTGGTAACTGCTATCAGCTTCAGGGAGAACAGGAATCCTTCCACAGTATCTGCTTTGGCCTCTTAGGGAAGAATTGGGACAATAATCAGCTGCTGCTGGGAGACAGTCAGTAAATCCTGCTGCACCCACCTGCACTCTCTTTACACTGACTACTTCAAGGGGACAGGTAGAAGCAAACACCATTGTTCCTTGGGAGAACAACAACAACAAAAAAAACCAAACCCACTGCCATCAAGTCAAAGGTTTCCAAGGTGGTAAATCTTTACAGAAGTAGATTGCCCAGTCTTCCTTCCATGGAGTAGTTGGTGGGTTTGAACCACCAACCTTCTGGTTAGCAATCAAATGCCTTAGGCACTGTGCCACCAGAGCTCCTTATCCCTTGAGAGAGAGGAAGGAAATCACCTTCCCCCAACCACCAGTCTCGTACCAAGTAAAAGGGTGTGGGGCACACCATATACTGCCCCCATTCCCAAGGAAGGTGGAGGGTTAGAGAAAATGGGGAAGAGCTTCAAGAAGATGGATTGACACAGCGGGTGCAATGGTGGGTTTAAGAAAGCCACAACTTGAGGACGGTGCAGGACCGGGCAGTGTTTCCTTCTGTTGTGCGTGGGGTCGCTAGGAGTCGGAACTGCCTTGACAGCAACTAACCACAATGACATTCCCAAGGAAAGGCCAGTTGCTACTGAAGAATGCTGCCTAGACCCAGCACTAATACAAAACAAGAGATCTGCTATCACTGAAGGAGGGAGAGGAAGCTCTCACCTATCCAAGACCTCTCAACAGACACATGGTGGGATTTGGTTTCCATGGAGTAAAGGAAAAATGCTGAAAAGACTCCACACCAAGGCAGAGGTCTTCAGCACCCACCTCTGGGGCTGGACAGGAAGTCTGGAACTCCCCTTGCCCTCACTTTAAGCACTGTACTGAGCACCAAGTTACAGCAGTCTACAGGTGGGGTAGAAGTGGCAGAATAGAGGGGCTCCCTTTGTGGCTCAGGGTGCGGGGCTTATTGAAAGTTAAAAGTGGAGCAGAAACCCAGAGGAAACCTCTAGCCCCTCAGGCTGTACAATGGCACCAATGAGCAGCAGCCACCATTTGGTGAATTTCAAGCATGAGGTACTCTAACGTGAGTTATAACATCAACAAAATCCATATCCACTCAAATACTCATAGTATTGACTGAACTCTCCACTAAATGGCCTGACATGTGCATGTTATTTCCAGCATAAATACTACTTATTTTAGTCTCTATTGTTCTTTTACACAGTGGCCAGTATTACAACAAAAATTATGATAATGTAAAAAAGCAAGAAAAAAGAATCTATTGTTAATAGAACGTCAACAGACAGACTCAGAGAAGAAGCAGATGTTGAAATATCAGACAAGAACTTTAAAATGATCGTGAAGGATGTGTTGAATAGGTCTGGTTGGATAGGTGAGCAACCGATGAGGAGATCGAAGACTTCAGCAGAAGATGGAAGCAATTATAAATAGTTTAGTGGAAATGCTCACAAAAGAGCCCACAAAGGAATGAAGAATTCCTTTGACATAGTTATCCACAGAGGGGACACAGCAGAGGAAGACTCTGATTTAAAGGTATATAAACAGAAACTACCTGCATCTACCAATCTGATAGGAATGAAGGGTATTGCATTATTATTTGTATTGCCTTGTTTTTCATAGAAGTTGAGTATCCTCACATGTTGAATGGCTATTTAGATTTATTTTGTGAATAGCCTTTTTATACAAAAATTGATGTTTTTGACTTACAGCTTTAGGAGTTTTGTTTTGTTTTTTATGTATTCTAGATACAGAAGGAAGCTCTGGTGGTGTAGTGCCTAAGGCATTTGACTGCTAACCAGAAGGCTGGTGGTTCAAACCCACCAGCCACTTCTCAGAAGGAGGACTGGGTGATCTACTTCCATTTTTATTTTATTTTATTTTATTTTTTGGTTTTCTAGATACTTTCATCCATTATGTATGCTGCACATGCTTCTTACATTATTGCTTCTCCACTAAAATTAGTAATACCAAATTGATTTAGCTCTTCTTTCACTGAATTTCAATTTTCATAGAAAACTTAGCAATCCTTTTCTTTGTGATTTTGTATTTTGCATGTGTGTGTATCTTGTTCAAGAA